CAAAATTGTTACTAAAATGGGTAATCTGAGATTGTTGGAACTACTTAATCCTAAGCTTCAGAAAATAGTCAAACTTGAAACTACAATGGAACCCGAGCTGTCAAACTATGATCTTTAGATTTTGAATATTATCAGAGAAAATTATTAAAGGATATAAAACTAGGATTATTTTCCTTTAATTTCTAGCTTTAAAAGCTTAAATATTAGTATTTAAACTAAAAAATTTAGATCTTGAATTTCATTAATGGAGAAACAATATCACGTAAGATTTAATATGGCTTTGAAGAGGAAAGTTTCTTGTAGACAACGGGCGGTTACACTATTTAACTGTGACAATTATCAAGTAAGTAACTAATACATGAAGACATTTACAGAGTATTTTGTTTGTCCTTCGTTTTATTTTATTCTCCCTTTCTTAAGGATATAATATAATTTAAGTTTCCAAATGCATCCCTGAGATTGAAAAGAAGATTATGATTTTCAGAAATAGAACGAAAAAAAGTCTATTGTAAGATGGAAATTAGAAATTACTTTTCAGGCACTTTGCTGAAATAAACATGCTAATATTTTTTCCTGATTTTAAGTGTTACCTTTAGAACATTTGAATAAAGAGATTTACAATGATGTGTGTTTCAGTGGCTTGTAGAGGTAAATGAATAAGACCTTGTGGGACAAGATATGCATAAAGATGAAAATAGTAAATGACAGAGTGTAATCGATAATGCCAGTAGAGAAAATAGAAAAATAGCAAAAAATTGCTTGGATATTAAACAAAAATATAGCAGAAAATTGAGCATATTAAGCTCTCTGTAGATTACTTCTTATTTAGTAATCATATTTAATTTATTTAGTATGCCTACCTACTATTAATGGGTTTTTCTTTTGAGCAAATGTTGTGATAAAATCATAAAAGAAAACTGTGAGAAAGAATGGGCTAATCAAGACAACCCTGGTGCAAAGCTTTATTTATTTTGTCCTTACATGTATGGGGATGTTCAGTGTTAAATAATATGCGGGGCAACTACAGCTTAAGCCATTGTATATTGTGGTTGCAAATGGGTAAATATTGAAGAAGAGGTTTTGAACTTTGTTGTCTTTTCTTCTAGAGTGGATTTAATCTGGCTATTGTCTATGTGGAAGACAAAAAAAGTCAAGTAGGGTCGTACGTCCACAGATCCTTTGAGTCTCTATCGAAACAATTGCATTAGATAGTTTGATTAATTGATTTGAGTTACCTTATGCTTTAAGTCTAAGCATGTATTTTCTATTAATTGTAAATCTTACTATCAGGGCTCTGGCCTTGCTTATGCACTTGAATTCCGCAAAGAGTTATTGAGGCTTCCGGACGTGGAACGCTTACTTGCACGCCTCTTTGCTAGCTGGTATTGTTGATTGATTTTATTATTTTTATGCAATCATTTATTTTCCTCACATCATTTCTTCATATAGAATATTGCATATATTTGCAGTGTGGTCTGTTCATATATCCTCAGTTTCATGTCTAAGTTATCTAACTTATTTGCCAATTTCATAATTTTAGGCTACCATTTATTGTAGTTAATGTTCAAAAACACGGTTTTATTATGTGCGCGATCTGAGACCGCTTAACGATTAACTGTATTAAATAATTAGATTATGCAGAATTATGCGTTTTTTAATTTTTTAATATATATATTTATTATTTATCATGTGTTAAAGTGTATAAAACTCATGAAAATTGAAAATATACTTAGAAAATGACAGCAGACATGCAATTGAACATTCCATAACTAGTCAACAGTAAGTTATGTAACAAAAAACAGTAATACGGTAATACCTAATAAAAACCCTAATCTAATTCTTAAATAATCACATATTATGCTTCGTAAACTAAATATGATTAGAACATTAAGTTACCTAATAAGAAACCTTATCTAATTCTTAGATAAACACAAAATCATCAAAACAACTTACCTGACAAAAACCCTTAAATAGATTATCTTTTTTGAGTAATGCTTTGGTACTCCTAAAATAACATTTTCTTAATTATTTTTTAGTTTAATTTAAAGGGTAGAATTGTATTTTCTTCGCCATCTTGCTCACTGTGAAAACGGCGAAGAAATTGTGAAAAACGTGAAAAATAACCCAAAATAGACTCCACCACACCCTGGTGTGGTGTCTGTCATGCGTGTGGCAGAATCTGCCCTGTCTGCCAGGCAGACTCGTTTTTAGAATCATAATCTATTTGAGATTGAGTTATGTTATAAATAGAACCACGTTTTTAGGGTTTCTTAAGAAGAGAAAATGAAAGAATTAGCATTGTTTTGAGCACTTTGAGAGGGAGATATTGTGAGGGAGTTGAGAGCTTTGGTTAGGGTTATATTTGAGTGATTTTGTGAGTTATAACCCATTGTATTTCTCCTTCATATAGTGAAATCTCCCCATCCTCTCCCCGTGGACGTAGGCAATTGCCGAACCACGTAAATTCCTGTGTTTGTGTGTGATTTTGGTCGTTATTTTGTGAATTACACTCGTGTTTGGTTTTGGTTTTCTTCTCTCATCGCTCACCGACTCGTTTGGTTGTCGAGTACGCTTCCAACGACACGCGACAAGTGGTATCAGAGCTCAGATTTCAGATCTAGGATTTTGGATTAGGTGGAGGAAGATTCAGTTGAAAACTTGGTTCTTGGAGTTCTAGGCTTTGGTGGAGTTAGGGTTTGAAGTTACCGTTGAAGATCTCACTTTCCTCGTGTGGTTAGGAGTTCTATTTGGAATCCAATCTAGGGTTCAGTTGGGTAACTTCTAAATTCTGTAAAGTTTGAATCTTTTTTTGTAATTTGGAGTTTGTGATTATGGGTGAAGAAGTTGGTAAAAATAGCAAGATGACGGGTACAGTTCAAGTGAGTTTTCAAAACACTAAGATTAGTGTAGTGAAATATGACGGTAAAATTAATTTTGATTTGTGGATGAGCGACGTACAGGATGCGTTCAATGCTCAAAATTTGGAGGAGACCATCATGGTCGATGTGAGGCCACCTAAATATGAAGAGGCGATATGGAAAAAGATGAATAGGAACGCTTGTGGGGTGATCAGGTCTTGTTTGGAACATGAGCTGAAATATGATGTGATTGGGGTGACGTCTGCGATGAAGATGTGAGAAATTCTCAACAATAAGTATCTTACGAAGAGTGTTGAGAACAGGTTGCATTTGCTGCGTAGGTTATTCAGATTCCAGATGTCCCGAGGCACCTCACTTGCGGCTCATGTGAACAACTATACTAAGTTGTTGTCGGACTTGACGAATGTGGATAAGAAGATCACGAATGAGTACAAGGCTATTATTTTTTTGGGCTCCTTACCGGATGAGGAGTATGATACCTTCGTGCTTACTTTGCTGAACGAGAGATCTTCTATCACTTATAGTGAAGTGACTAACACATTGACGAACTACGATTTGAGGAGGAAGGATAAGGAGACTTCCCGCGCTAGTACTTCAGGAGAGGCCTTGTCGACGAGAGGTAGAAGCCCATATCCGAAAGGTGGTAATCGAGGAAGGTCAAAGTCAAGAGGTCGTTACCAGCTAGCTAAGAATCAGTGCGCGTTCTGTAAGGAACTAGGACATTGGAAGAGAGACTGTCCAAAGGTCAAGGAAGAGGAGAATAGCAAGAAAAAGGGCCCGAAGGCCAATGATGTGAATGTTGCGAAAGTCGATGATTCTGATGATTCGAGATTTTCTCTTTTGATTACTTCGGAGATGAACCATTTGGATGTATCAGATTGGATGCTTGATTCTGACGCTACTTATCATGTGACCCCTAAGCGAGATTGGTTTTCATCGTTTGAGACTTGATGGGGGTGTTGTTGTCATGAGAAATGATCAATCCTGTGGTATTTGTGGGATATGTACTGTGAGGATTCGGATACACGATGGAGTAGTCCGTGAGTTGAAGGAGGTGAGATTCGTTCCTCAACGTACTGTGAGGATTCGGATACACGATGGAGTAGTCCGTGAGTTGAAGGAGGTGAGATTCGTTCCTCAACTAAAGAAGAATCTTATCTCATGAGTTGAAGGAGGTGAGATTCGTTCCTCAACTAAAGAAGAATCTTATCTCAGTTGGAGCTTTGGAGGCTGAGGGATTCAGGGTGACATTTGAGGACGCTGTAGCGAAGGTTACTAAGGGATCTTTGGTGGTGATAAAGGGAGTTCGTAGTCAAAATTTATACTATCTGAATGGGAGCACCGAGATTGGTCAGGTTGTTTCGGTTATTTCAGAGGCGGACATGAGTAGGCTTTGGCATTACAGGTTGGGGCACACAGGTGAAAAGTCACTGCAGACATTGTGCAAGTAGGGGCTATTGAAGGGAGCCAAGAGTGAAAAAATTGAGTTCTGTGAGCACTATGTTCTTGGCAAGAAGACGAAGGTGAAGTTTGGGACTGCCATTCATCAGACGAGGGGCATCCTAGACTACGTGCACACAGATGTTTGGGGTCCCACCAAGACTGCATCACTTGGTGGTCGACATTGATTCGTCACGTTTGTTGATGACTATTCTAGGCGTTATTGGGTGTACATCATGAAGCATAACAATGAAGTCCTAGATTTATTTGTGGAGTGGAAGAAGAGATTGGAACTGCAGACAGGGAGAAAGATCAAGACGTTGCGATCCGACAACGACGGTGAGTATATTTCAGACCTCTTTCAGCAGCTATGTCGAGACGAGGGCATAGAGAGGCACTTCACAGTTAGTCATACACCGCAGCAGAATGGGGTGACAAAGAGGTTAAATCGGTCTTTGCTGGAGCAGATTTGATGTTTATTAGCGTATAGTGGTTTGGAGAAGATCTTTTGGGCTGAGGCACTTTTATATGCGAGCCACCTCATTAATAGGTTGCCTTCATCTGCGATTGAGGGGAAGACCCCTATGGAGATGTAGTCGGGAGAGACAGCACATGACTATGACCAGCTTAAGGTATTTGGTTGCCCTGTATATTATCATGTTAGAACTGATAAGTTGGAACCTCGAGCTAGGAAGGTCATATTTGTAGGATTCAAACGTGGTGTCAAGGGATACAAGCTTTGGGATCCAGTTGATAAGAAGATTGTGCTGAGTAGGGACATCACATTTGATGAGGCTTCTATCTTGAAGCTTCCCAGCTCTCATCAGGTGGAGAGCGACCCGACAAAGAAGATATCGCAGGTGGTGGAGATTGATGCAGCTCCATAGTGTTCAGATGGTGCAGTATCCATTAGAGTGCCGACTGAGGTGATGCCAGGCGAGCACGGTAGTGGTGCGGAGGATACAGGTACTCATGTGCAGGATCAGGGACCGACGGTTCAGGTTCAGGATTCTATTACGGTTCTGAGACAGAGGAGAGACATACGGGTGCTAGTACGGTATGCCGACACAGTTGCATATGCACTTCCGGTGGAGAGTATCGATGAGATGATACCTACTATTTTCAGAGAGGCCGAGCAGAGTTCGGAGGCTGATTCGTGACAGGTAGCTATCAGGAGGAGATGTAGTCTCTTCATAAGAACGATACATGGGAGTTTGTTGAGCTTCCAAAGGGGCGAAAGACGATTGCGTGCAAGTGGGTGTACACGAAGGAGGGCATTGAGGGCACTCCATTGAGGTTCAAAGCTAGGTTGGTTGCGAAAGGCTATGCACAGGAGGAAGGTATTGACTATAATGAGGTTTTCTCTCCGGTGGTGAAGCATTCTTCAATTCGGATTCTACTAGCTTTGGTGGCACAATATGGATTAGAGTTAGGTTGGTTGGATGTGAAGAAGACATTTCTTCATGGTGATCTTGATGAAGAAATATATATGACTCAGCCATTGGGATTCCGAGCTGCAGGAAAAGATAAGTTGGTTTGCAGGTTAAAGAAATCGCTATACGGTTTGAAGCAGTCTCCTCGACAGTGGTATAGGCGATTCGATGGTTTTATGCTAGGTCATTCGTACACTCGGAGCCAGTTTGATCCTTGCGTATATTTTCGCAAGTTGAAAGGAGGTACGTACATCTATTTGTTGCTCTATGTCAATGACATGTTGGTTGCCTCTATTTCCAGGTCGGCTATAGATAAGTTAAAAGTTCAGCTTTCAAATGAGTTTGAGATGAATGACTTGGGTGAGGCCAAACGCATTTTGGGAATGGAGATCGGCAGAGACAAGAAGAAGGGAGGAATTTGTTTGACACAAGTGTCTTATTTGAAGAAGGTTCTACAGCGATTCCATGTTAGCATGGATACGAAGCCAGTTAGTATACCATTAGGAGCCCATTTGAAGCTTTTAACTGGTCTTTCATCGAAGTCAGTTGAAGATCGAGAGTTGATGTCGAAGACTCCATATGCGAGTGTGGTTGGGAGCTTGATGTATGCGATGGTATGTACGAGGCCGG